GTAAAATTAGGCAAGCAAATGTTGAATTTCACATGTTTTGGACAGTCATACTCCTCTATATTATCTTACTCCTGATTGTATGTGTTACAGTGTGAGATAGCGTCTCGATCATGGGACGTGTACGCAGCGATAGCTACTAGCAGTTCTATGACTCGCCATTATGACACGAATATGTTTGAGTGTTTGTTAGATGTGTTCCCTCAACGGCCAGACATGCAGTCAGTCATAGATAGCTGATTTGGTGGTAGCATTGTATTCTCATATTTTAATATGTATTAGGTGTAATGTTTCGATTTTCAGTAATTCAGTCGGTGCTAGCTAGCTGATTTTGTGGGTAGCACTGTCTTCTTCTTTTTTTAATATATGTTAGGTGTCATCTCCTCTTGATCTTCAATCATTCTTGCCTTTGTTCTTCTTCTTTGTGGTAGTCTCTCGCGGATGGTCCACGCTGAGATGTCAGCTAGGGGCTGACCTCCCTGTTGATGATTCTTCTCCACCTTCCTCGATCGGCCGTATCGTCCTCCGTTACTCCCAACCTGTCTGACTTCAGTCATTCTGGCAGTGATGGTTACTTAATCATGACATTACAGTATTTCTGCGCTCTGCTCGCAGGGCTGCTGCTGTGCCGGTTGACTTTGAAGAGGTTCTATTGGACTCGCAACATGACAGTGAAGAGGATCTGGACAATGCTGTGCTGGCTGTCAAACGTAACAAGGTGGCGCTGAAAGGTATTGCATCGGCAATGTTTGGAGGCGGCTTTGAAGTTGAGATAGCAAGTGTTACGTGTTGAAAATCTTTTAGTTTTACACATGTATGTGCCGACACTTGCTCACAGAAATCGATTTCAAGGTAGGGATTGTGTTCCAGAAGCAGCATACATTCTTTATAAGTTTGGGGAGGAGATCGAAACATCTAAAGCCTCGCAATGTTTGTGTCACTTTATGGAGGCTAGTAGGGCCAAATCACATCTTCACTACATTTCTCTCTTGAAACGAGTGGAGGCTCACTCATAACAGATAGCTATATGTAGAGTAAGCCATAGAATATACCTGTGGAGATTTGTTTCTTACAGTACATCGTGATCCATGCAACTGCCATATTTACTCATGTATAAGTCACACTTTTTTGTACACAACTTCACTAAAAAAAATCAGAGGTGTGACTTATGCATGAGGATAAAAAATCTTGTTGCTGTACCAATGTTTGTATCAACTTTTCAAGGCGAAATATGGGTTGCGACTTAAGTTATACACGAATGCGACTCGTACGCATAACATCAAGAGCGTATTAAGAAGGAGAGCGTACAACGGTGAAATGCTGAAACCATATTGCAGTATTAGTCGAATTAGTATTGATCATCTATCCTACCTTACTAATATCAAACAAACCGCTTGTCCCTACGATGCTCCTACGCTGAGATAATGAGCGGTGAAAATCTGGTATTTTTGCCGAAAACCGACTCGAGATCCCGGTTGGCTGTGACCTTCTCTTGCTTTGAGATAGCTTCGGGGAACCTCGCGTGTTTCCGTCAATGATTGACAAATGGAATGAATGACAATGAATTCATTGACATCTGTTATTGATTGCCATAGTGATGACCCCCACCTGTGCCCACCTCACGCTGGATGTAGTAAACTCTGTAGTACTGACGTAATGAGTCAGCACTACCATGGCAGTACACAGCGGCGACCGGAAGCAACACACTAGCCACAAAGCGAGAGAGGGTCGCAGCAAACATGGATCTCGGGTCGGTTTTCGGCAAAAATACCAGATTTTCACCCCTCATCTCAGCGTAGGGGCTATATAATAGGGACAAGCGGTTTGTTTTATATTAGCAAGGTAGGACAGCTGATTAATAATACCGCAAAGAATCGTCAAAAATAAAACGGGCAAAATTTCTTAATTCGACTAATACTGCAACATGGTTTCAGCATTTCACCTCCTTCGTTGTACGCTCTCCTTCTTAATACGCTCTTGGTAATATACATAATTTATTTCTTGCGATGCTCGTAATAAAGTAACGCCAATGTTCTGTTCGTGTTTGTTTCTGGTCGCCGCAGGAAACGTGGAGACGCATCACGCTGAGCCCGGCTTCATCTCGCACAACCTGCTGCTGCGTGTGAGGCTCGACCTGCAGGCAAACATCGTGCACTGCCGCAGCGTGCCGGGCGTGCGCTCGCGCCATGCTGACATCGACGTCGTCGTCATTCGCGAGAACACCGAGGGCGAGTACAAGAGCCTTGAGCATGAGGTACAGGCCCTGTTCGTGGGTGTGTGTGTGCGTGTGTGCGTGCGTGCGTGCGTGCGTGCGTGCGTGCGTGCGTGCGTGCGTGCGTGCGGGCGTGCGTGCGTGCTTGTGTGTGTGTGTGCATGTGCCCGCGCGCGTGTGTGGGTGGTTGCAAGAGAACCTTGCATATAGGGTGCCAATTGCTGTGTTTGTGCCTGCGTACGTGTGTGTGGGTGCATTGGTGGGAAGGGCGAATCGATCTCTGTCATCTGTCTGGGTGGGTGGATGGAAGTAAGTGAGAATTGGTCTCATATTCCACTGCCTTCCATCGCTTGCATTTTGCTATTGTCACAATAGAATTTTAATTGTATGAATTAATTTAGAAAATATAAGGCCGAGGCAGGTAGTTCTCTGTTAGCATTTCTGCTGTGTTTGATTTTGTCGTTTTAATGTTTTGTTGGTTGCGAGTTTTCTCTCTACGTGGCCTTTGATATTGACGTTTGGCTACTGCAGAATGTTCCGGGTGTCGTGGAGAGTTTGAAGATTATCACCAGAGAACATTCTGAAAGCATCGCTCACTATGCTTTTCAATACGCGCTCGACCACGGACGCAAAAAAGTCACAGCCGTGCACAAAGCTAACATTATGTAAGTTTTTTTCTCCGTTCTGATCTTAATCACGTCTGAAAATGAGATTTCATTAACAGCGACACCGTCACTTACCTACACACCTTACATCGTGCCCTCCCCACATCAAGCAACATCAGCAACATTAGGGATCTCGTGCTATCGCTTGTGCCCATCCCCTGTTAGGCATTCGATACCTTCGCAAAAATAAATTGCGAGAAAAGGGTAAAGAACCATCTCTAGTATAAACACACTGTTCATCGAACCATGCAAGGTGCACCATAAACTCACCGTGCCAATGTTGGGACGGGGGACGAACACGGTTGCGTGACATGGGAGGACGATGTTTGGGATGCTGTCGTCATGGTGAATAGTCGATTGACGCAGGAGGGCAATGTTGGGATGCTGTCGTCATGGTGAAGAGTCAATTGACGCAGGAGGACGATGTTTGGGATGCTGTCGTCATGGTGAATAGACGATTGACGCAGGAGGGCAAGGTTGGGATTGCTGTCGTCAGCGTCGAATAGCGATTGACGCGGAGGCAATGTGGGGCAATGGGGCTGCGTCATGGGTGAATAGTCGATTGAACGCGGGAAGGGCAATGTGGGAACTGCTGTCGTCATGGTTGAATAGTCCTGATTGCCCGGAGGAATTTGAGGGATGCTGTCGTCGTGGTGATGAGTCAATTGGTGTGACACGGGAGGGCAATATTGCAGCCTGTTGTCTACGCATTTGTTTGCTGCACATGTTGCTCGCATTCGTTGCTCGTAAAAGCTGTGCAGCATAATATTGCAGCCTGTTGTCTGCACCTGTTGCTCAATCTGTTCGCCGCATTGTCTGCTGGCAGCTGTTGCTGCATTGTTGCGGGGAGCGGAAGCTGCTGCCCGGTATGCTTCGCTCTCGACCCTGCCGTCGCGATGCTCGGCGCCAGTATACCAGCGTAACCAGTTCGGCAGACCATGATCGCGACAAATACTGGCATGCAGGTGAGATGGATCGCGCTCCGTTCGGCTGCCTTATAAGCCATATCGGAAAGTCCCGCTGCCATATTGAGATCACACGGTCAGACCTAAATAATGTCCTTGTTCGGGTCACCACCCCGACTCACATTTCTCTGAGGATAAATGTGCGACTGCGGTACTTTTAGAGGTTTCAAGAAAAAATAAAATTCAAAGATACCCGGCCTGCCGATCATCACCATATTCAAATATCCGACTCTTTCAATGTTTATTTACCTAAGGAGCAGTGTCGCAAAATATGTATAAACAGAACTGTCGTTGCGAAGAAGTGAACACCAGTTCGGCGTACGCTAACGTTTCCTAGAACCTACAGACGTGGAAACAGTCGTATAGGAAGGCTGGGCCGGCTTTACTTCAATAAACAGAGCCTAAAGGTCCGTATGGCGCGCGGCGCCCCTTTGATGTACGCGATCGATCGCGAGTACTAATAATAGAATATACGTATCAACAATTGCTCGCATCGCTACTCGTCAATACGACGCCGCGCAAGAGCCGTTTTACAACGCTACAGCTTACTCGCTTGTTCAACGGGCGCATTAATCGAGCTCCGTTTTTGGACGTGATTCCCTACCACAACTATCGGCAGTCACCCGAACCACTGAATACGCAGTACAGCGACCCACCAGTAAACGACTGTCGTTCATCATTTTGAGAGAGCAATGTCATGACTTGCAGTCAATCGGTTAACTATGCAACTGCAAAGTCATGCATCTCGTGGCTCCTGTCAATTTCAAGGCTGCTATATATTTAACCTTGTGAAAAAAAAATATAATATCCGTGCCCCTACTCGAGGCATTTTTTTACAGGAAAAAAGTGAAATAAAAACAATGTTATACCTACCTAACGGTACCCACATTTTCCTACAAGTGCCATGACCGAACCAAAAGGTAATTTTGTTTGGTCCTCGCAGAGAAGAGCGGCGTGTATAAAACTGCGTTTTTGTGCCCGTGACTGCGTCCTAGCTTTTTTCTGATCAATAATTCTCTTCACTAACATCGACTTCAATTTACAGTGCGTTTCTCTGTTACTGGCGGAACCATTGACCAAATGTGATTGTGGTCCCATTTGGGATATTTGCATGTTTGTGTTAATTCGCAATTAACGAAAAAACGCATGATGTTTACATTAATCAATCTTACTTTCTCTAACAGCCCGTGGCCATTTTATACCCCTTTTTTCTGGACGGTAATTAGCACAATGGCTATCCGATCCTCACTTAAATTACTGAATCTCTATCCTGCTATAAGTACTGTATATCAGAATGTTATATTCGCAGTGGTCTTAATTTCGCGAGAATTTGCGAAGCAGGAAGCGCCCCGACCGCACGAATTAACAATAACAATAATGCAAATGTACACACACACGAATAATTATAGCGAATGAATAGCGAATGAATTCATGATTCACGGACGACGCTGCAAACTTAACCATATCGCCGAAATCGCGGTAACAGCGAAAAATCATGGCGCATATACGTCCTGGCACCACCTCGATCAGCACTCGATAGGAGTGCTGCGCCGTTGCCACGGGTTTGCGCTGAATTCTGCCACCTCCCTCACGCGGCAATGGATCCGTCGTGCTCCATACCGTATACGGCTCGACTACCTCAAGACCACTCTAGGTGGCCGCGTGGCCTTGTGACGAGGTATCAACGAATGCTGCTTCGTGTTTCGCGCAGACTCGTCTTCGTCCGACGCCAGCAGTTCGGACCGTGATAATGGTGATGGCCGAGTCTCTACGGAAACATTGCGGAAAATACTTGTGGCGTCGACATCGCTGGCGAGATGGACTCAACTGCCGCGCAAACATCGACCGCAGTACGCCATCTTCGAAACCCGGTGGAGTTTGATTTTCATGGCCGCTAGGTGTGCCTAGCTCCTAACGCCACGTTGAGTTTGGCAGTCGACAGCCTGTTTTGTTTATTGCGTCACCAGGTGGTGCCAGCGACCACCAACACGTGCTGCATGTCTGCAGTTGATGCGCTGACTGTTTCGTGGACGTATGTATGATGCATGTTGTATAACCTTAGATTGGGGTATGTTGAATTTGAGACATGTATGACTGCATGTTCGCAGGGGGGTGGCTGAGGGGGACGATCTGGGATGGGAGGGTTAGATCTGCAACAGTGTGTTGTGAGTTGAGTAATAGCTATTGGTCGGCATGCAGTCATGTGTGCTTGCATTTTGCCTTGATTGTTGGTTGGACAATGTTGTTGGATCGCCGAGCAGAAATGTATTGGATCATAGATTGGCCGAGAAGAAAGAAGAAAGAAGAGACTCCTGACTTACGAACATGTCGAGTTACGAAACTTTCGATGATACAAACAACTTGCCCTGAAGTTTATTACTCTATAATGTCAATATTCTGGTGAATAAAAAAGACGACAAGATCGCCCCCCCCCCCCCCTGATTTTGACTTTCGCACATCCTTGGTTCACGTATCAGCCGCTCGACACTAACGGTTGTGCCGATCTGCCGCGGACACAGTGACAGTCTATGTCGGACAACGTTATTCTCTTGCCTAGTTGCCCGATCGGACAAACTGAAAAGTTCTAGTTGTTTAATATTCCTAACATCCTCTGAGCCAGGGCGCATACGCACTACATTCTCACTTCAAACGTTTTCAAAGGTCCATGAAAAAAGCAGCCGGCAACACCAACTGTTACCATTACAGATTTCTTCAGAGCGGCCAATGCATACCTCCCTGGCCGGGGCGGCATTGATTTAATGTACTGCGCTACTACTGGGGTGGGGGTACGATTGTTATAGTCGGTTGGGGCATATTCATTACTGAATATTAGGGGTGGGCATCGCTGGGATGAAGGACGGACAGCAAAACTATTTCCTGTGATTGAGGAAAAAGCTGGCAATCGCTAAATAATGACACACAATGATGCGTCCCGGCATGCAAACATAAACGTGTGAATTTCATTACGATTTTACATGTACTGTATTTACACGTGTTATAAGTACAATTCATGTATATTATAAGTCTCACCCCATTTTTGCATTGAAAAGTTGTACAAAACATGTGTCATTAACAAGATTTCTTGGCCTCGTCGTATATCTGCACCCTTGGTTTTTTTTATTGAAGTTGTTGCTGACAAAAGCGCGGTTTATACACAAAGTAATTACGGTATATATACTGTAAGTGTAATAGCCTCAACGCACGCATGCCAACGCGCGCCGCAGACACATGCCTAGGTATGTGCGAGCCTATATGCACGCAGGAATACTGGCAAAAATATCAGGGGTGTACAATATATATATATCTACACATTATCTAATAGTATTATATATGTATATATCTAATTTGATATCAATATAGGTCTTATATTATACACTCCTGATAATATGATATGCACTGAACCAAAGAGGACATTAACGCCTCATAGATTGCACAAGTAATTTTTTGACAAGTAAAATCAAAAACGGACAAGTAAAAATTGCTTCTTGTTGCCCGACAGGACAACCAGATTTGAAAGTAAGCGTCGAGGCCTGGCTATATGGTTTACCACATGTCACACTTATAGTTACTCGATGTCACACAGTACATATGCTAGCACTACTGTACAATACCGTATACGTCCGTAGCATATGTGTCGACTTCACGAACAAATCGACTTACGAACGACCGCTCGCGAACCAAACCTGTTCGTAAGTCGGGGTCTCTGTATACCAACTCTGATATAATGCGCTGTAACATTGCTGTAACATACTGTAACATTGCTGTAACATACCTGTACAGTGCGACAATACTGTAACATTGGCTGTAACATTGCTGTAACATACTGTAAATACTGTAACATTGCTGTAACATGCTCTGTAACATACTGTAACATTGCTGTAACATTGCTGTAACATACTGTAACATTGCTGTAACATTGCTGTAACATACTGTAACATTGCTGTAACATACTGTAGCATTGCTGTAACGTTGCTTGATAACATTGGCTGTAACATTGCTGTAACTACTGTAACATTGCTGTAACATTGGTGAACATACTGTAATATTGCTGTAACATTGCTGTAACATACTGTAGCATTGCTGTAGCATTGCTGTAACATACGAACATTGCTGTAACATACTGTAAGCATTGCTGTAACTATGCTGTAACATTGCTGTAACACTGTACATTGCTGTACACATACTGAACATTGCTGTAACATCCTGTAACATACTGTAACATTGCTGTAACATTGTTGTAACATCCTGTAACATGGCTGGTACACATACTGTAACATTGCTCGTCAGCATTGCTGTAGCATTGCTGTAACATACTGTAACATTGCCTGTAACAATGCCTGGTAAGATACTGTAGCATTGCTGTACACTGTGCCTGTAACTTTGGCTGTAACATCCTGTAAACATTGCTGTAACATACTGTAACATTGCTGTAACATTGCTGTAACATTGCTGTAACATACTGTAACATTGCTGTAACATACTGTAACATTGCTGTAACATACTGTAACATTGCTGTAACATACTGTAACATTGCTGTAACATTGCTGTAACATACTGTAACATTGCTGTAACATTGCTGTAACATACTGTAACATTGCTGTTGTGTTTCTCAGGGTACTCGAAGCACAGGCAAGTCGATCACAGGCCAAAACACGGCTAATCCGACAGCAATGCTGCTGGCTGGGGTGAAGCTGTGCCGCTACTTAGGGTGAGCTGTAGAATCAGTGGTGAAAACTAATTAACACTACGATTAATTATTATTAATAATTAAGCTGCTTCTTACCACATCACACATATTTCGCGAGAGCTTGCCACTGAAGCTGTTCGAATCAGTGAAAATCATTCAAAGAAACATATTGTTTAATTTGGTTAATGATTGCGTGTTTCCCCTGCCTCGTTAATTATAATAAAGTCGGTGGCTGGCCAGTTTGACAGGTTTAAATCAGAATTCTTGAGCGGCATAAAGTGTGATGTGATTGCAGTGTGAAGGATGCACGAAACTGCTTTGCTAGGAAGTGTAAAAATTAAGCAAATTAATCTCATATTGGTGATTTATAGATGCATGTTCTAAAGCTGAAATGGTCTGATATTATCGAAACTCCCCAAATTGGCTCTGCCCAAATTGAAGCTGTCTGAAATGTAATTTGATTTATTTTGAGTGGAAATTCGAAGTGAGTGACCTTCGCGCTTGCAGTACGCTTACCAATTATTTTTTCAGCCTGTCAGCACATGCCGATGTCATTGAATCTGCAATCTGGAAGACCATCAGTGACGACAAGGTGACGGCTATAGCACGCGACAGTTTCAATTTATTTTTTGTTCCAATGAAACAGGGAGAGAGTCGTTTACTCATGCGAAACGTCGGCCGAAAATGCGACAGAGCTTCTCTGTCAATGTTTAATCGTAGAGCAGTCTCCGTTCGTAGCTCAGTTGCAAGTTAGGGTTATTGAGTGGTGAGATTGTCGAGAACATATTTGTCGCAACGCGAACAAGTTGTCACGTCATGTTTTTTTGTGAGCAATTGGTTCTTTTGCCGTTTCGTTGTTAGTTTATTTCACTGCTCTATATAACGTCTGCTTTTTTCTGTTCTTCGCTGTTATGTGCGTACGCCGGGTACTTGATTTTTTTATCGCCATCTTCCTCGGTCTTTTACCGTTCTCTTGTTATAGGTGCACACGCCTGACCTTGGCGGATCGGCTACGACCTCCGACGTCCTTGACTCGATTACGCAGAAGATCGGAGCGCACATGGCGTCGAGGTAGGTGGCTGTTCAGCGGCACAGCAACCGTGGCTGAAACCATCGCCAGTAAGACATTTTCGACGGCTCGGACAGTGAAGAGAGACGACAAAGCATCACATTGTCGAACCGCCGCTTTAATCAGAGTGCCGGGTATTAAACTGACTATTGCGAGATTTTTGCTCAGAAAAACTAAATAGAGCTGAATATAGTCTCACCTGACAGCGAAAATATCACTGATTACACCAACATTAAAAATACTACGATTTTATGCAGTTATAGCATAGAAAATTGGATATTAACACATCGTAACAGCAATACATTTTATCGTGTCGCGACAATGCCTAATGGCAGAATTGGTAAACTTCTATTTGTGTCGGTGATGAATTGAAAACAAGTGCGTGCCTTCACTGTGGGTATGGCAGATAAGCGGCGGCGCCACAAGCTAATGCATACTTCCTGTTAGTTCAAGATGACAGAAAACGAATGTTTACAAAAACGATAAGTTCGAAACTGGCAGTTTTCCAGTTCGAACAAGTTCGATAAGTTCGAAGATTCTAACCATTTTATTGTTACTCTAGACAATTGCTGTTACTCAAGCAATAACGGTAGATATCATGAAAGTGGGGAAAACACTGGAAAATTCTCGCAATAATCGCTTTACGATGTGTGTGTGGGGGTGGGGGTGGGGGGTCTAGAAGCGAATCTAACAAATCAATGTCTGGAAGCGCGTTTCGACGGAGGCAGGCCGTTTTTCTAGTCAGTACGGTGACGCGCGAGTCGAGAGAGAGAGAGTGTTTGTGAGTCACCGCGCGTGAAAGCTAATTCCGTTGCAGTCATTTGCGCTAACAAACATGGACAGTGTTTTGTCGGTTGGCGCTTGAAAACACGGAGCATGAAATTCGGGCACCGCAGACAGGCGCTGTGTTTCAGTTTAGTTCGTGTACAATTGGGTGCTAGGTGCAGTTGTATGTTGCTATACAGCCGTCGGTTGTTACGAAAACTTCAGTGGCGAGGGAGCGAATTCATGTTTTGACAGTTGGCGCTCTTTTCCCTTTACTGTTTGAAATCTGGCTTGAGATAACCGACTCGGCATGATGTAATAAATTATAGATCGTTACCTCCATAGAGTTGTCGTTATTATGTAATAAATTATGTTATCATTTTAAGGATTTGTGTCTTACTTAAAAAAAAAAAACTTGCAATACTAATTTTTGTATACATTATTTTAGTAAATAACTTAAATCACGAGTGGCCCAAGTCTATAAAGTATTATTAAAACAGAAACCACAGAAAAGTGATCAATTGAAGGCATCTCTCTCAAGCGCCTTCCGTATCGCCCAGCTGTGTTGGTCTAAACTGTGAACATGCAATATATATATATATATATATATTATTCTGTTCTCAGGGTATAAACACTTTTCTCGTCTCATCTTGATAATCCTATACTATAGTTGTTTGGTCATTACTACTATATTGCCAAAGTGCGACTCCTATAGCGAGTGTGGCACGAAGGGTCGTTGTCGTATCGGGTACTACGTATATGTACCCGAGATAGTTTTAGGTTGTTTAGTATTATGTTTATATTTTTATATGAGGTATGTTTAGGGTTAGTGTTAGGGTCAGGGTACACTTCTGTAGTACAAGTCTGGTACACTTTGTGTATACATATATGTACCTCGCGTACATATATGTAGTACCTGATACGACAACGACCCCTTCAGCGCTAGTGTGCGTGCCTGGTATGAAACCAATTTGCCGGCGCGCACGCCCGCGTGGCTATGTTTATATAAGCCTTATTAAATAAGGTTCGGCCTCTGTTGTTTAGCTTATGAACTGTACGTGCCTCGCGGCGTGTAACCGAGCGTTGTAGCGTACACGTGCACGAACTGCAATCACCCAAACCTACTGTTTTTTTTGGCATTTTGATTGGTAAAACAATGAAGTCCATATGGATTCCTAGTGTCACGGCTTTTTGGTTTTGTTAGATCATTATTTCTCTTCTTTCCAAGCGGTTCAAATTGATATTGCTAAATTTTTTCATGAACAGTGTTGACATCTTGACTATGCTAAGCAGGTATTCTACAGGTACATAGCAACGCTTGGCTGCAGTGATGTGGTAGTAGTAGGTTGACGTGACGGACCAGTAATCACGTGGCACCATTGCTACAGCTTTTTCATGGAAGTGCGGAAATTTCGTGTGCATATGTTGTAGCATAGTTATCATAGTTGTAGCATAGTTATCATAGTTGTAGTGCCTGTTGCTGCACTGTTGCTGCATTGTTGCTGCATTGTTGCTGCACTGTTGCTGCATTGTTGCAGGAAGCTGGCTGACGGTATGTTCCTCGACTCCTGCCGTCGCGTCGCCGCGCAGTATCCCAGCGTCCAGTTCCAGGACATGATCGTCGACAATACCTGCATGCAGGTGAGTGGATCGCACTCCGTCGCCTGCCTTATAAGCCATATCGGAAAGTCCCCGCCGCCATATTGAGATCAGGCCGACCTAAAAATTACCTTTGGTTCGGGTCACCCGCCCGACTTCACATTTCGGAGTGATAAAATGTGCGACTGCGGTCACTTTTAGAGGGTTTCAAGAAAAAATAAAATTCAAAGATACCGCCTGCCGATCATACATATTCAAATATCCGACTCTTGTCATTTTATTTACCTAAGGAGAGTTCCAAAATATGTATAAACAGAACTTCGTTGGCGAGAAGTGAAACAGTTCCTACCTACGTTTCCTAGAATCCTACAACGTGAAACAGTCGTATAGAGCCTGGGCCGGCTACTTCATAAACAGAGCCTAAAGGTCGTATGGCGCGGCGGCCGGCTTTGATGTACGCGATCGATCGCGTACTATATAGATATAGTATACGCATGCTATCGTACTATACGCGGCCGCAGAGCCGTTTACACTTCGGTTACTCGCTTGTTCAAAGGGACGATTAATCGAGCTCCGTTTTTGGAGTGATTCCTAACACAACTATCCAGTACCCGACACGAATACCAGTACACGACACCAGTAAACGACTGGTGTTCACATTTTGAAAACAATGTCATGACTTGCAGCAATGGTACATGCAACTGCAAGTCATTTGCATCTCGTGGCTCATGCATTTCAAGCTGTATATATTTAACTTGTGAAAAAAAAAATTATATTCCTGCCTACCCATGTTTTTACAGGAAAAAAAGTAAAAAAAAAATGTTATACCTACCTACCTACCCTAATTTTCACAATCCATGTGACCCGAACCAAAGGTATTTTTTGTTTGGCCTCAGAGAAGAGGGGGTATAAACTGCCGTTTTTTGCCGTGACTGGTCTAGGTTTTTGATCAATAATTCTCTTCACTAACATCGTACTTCAATTTACAGGTGCGTTTCTGTTTACGGAAACATTTACAAATGTGATTGTGGTCATTTGGGATATTTTGCAATGTTTGTGTTAATGCAAAAACGAAAAACGCATGAGTGTTTACATTAATCATGTACTTTCCTAAGCGCACCGTGGCCATTTTATACCCCCTTTTTCTGGGACGTAATTAGCACAATGGGCTTTCCGATCTCACTTATTACTGAATCTCTATACCTGCTATATACTGTATACACTGTATATTTCGCAGTGGTTTAATTTTCGCGAATTTTGCGAACGCGCCCCCGACCGCACGAATAACAATAACAATAATCAAATAACAACACACGAATAATTCATACCGAATAATAGCGAATAATTCATGATTCACCGACCGCAAACTTAACCATTCGCGAAATCGTCCGTACACGAAAAATATGGCATATACAGTACTCACAGGCCCTCGATCAGCACTGATAGGTGGCGCCACGGTTTGCGGCTGAATTCTCCACCTCCTCACGGCGGGCATCCGTCGTGGCTCCATACTAGTACGGCTCGACTACCTCAACGACCACTCTAGGTGGCGCTGTGGCCTTGTTGACATATCAACGAATGCTCTTGTGTTTCGCGCAGCTCGTCTCCCGACCGCAGCAGTTCGACGTTATGGTGATGCCGAATCTCTACGGAAACATTGTCGCAAACATTGGCGTCGGAATCGCTGGCGGAGACGGACTCACTGCCGGCGCAAACATCGGACCGCAGTACGCCATCTTCGAAACGGTGAGTTTGTTTTCAGTGCCGCTAGGTGGTGCCACTAGTCTAACGCACGTTGAGTTCTGCAGTCGACAGGCCTGTTTTGTTTATTGCGCCACCAGGTGGTGCCACGAGACCAACACGTGCTGCATGTCTGCAGTTGATGCGACTGTGTTTCGTGGACGTATGTGTGATGCATGTTGTATAACCTTAGATTGGGGTATGTGATATTGAGACATGTATGACTGCATGTTCGGCAGGGGGTGGCTGAGGGGGGAGATCTGGGATGGGAGGGTTAGATTCTGCAAAGTGTTTGTGATTGAGTAATAGCTATTGGTCGGCATGCAGTCATGTGTGCTTGCTTTTTGCTTGATTGTTTGGTTGGACAATGTTGTTGGATCGCAGCAGTAATGTATTGGATCATAGATTGGCCGAGAAGAAAGAAGAAAGAAGAGACTCCCTGACTTACGAACATTCGAGTTACGAACTTTCGATGATACAAACAACTTGCCCTGAAGTTTATTACTCTATAATGTCAATATTGGTGAATAAAAAGACACAATCGCCCCCCCCCCCTGATTTTGACTTTCGCCAACTCCTGTGTTCACGTATCAGCCCTCGACACTAACGGTTGTCCGATTGCCCGGGACAAGTGAAAGTCTATGTCGGACAAGTTATTCTCTTGCCTAGTTGCCCGATCGGACAACTGAAAAGTTCTAGTTGTTTAATATTCCTAACATCCTCTGAGCCAGGGCGCTATCGCACTACATTCTCACTTCAAACGTTTTACACACACACACACACACACACACACACACATAGGCAAGCACACACGCACACACGCCCTCGCCGCACCCAAAGCAGGCACGCACGCACGTAGGCCTACTACATCTCGTATATTACAAAGCTGGGAATCGCGGTGGCTAATTAAGCCTTCACAATCATTCGTACATCAAAGAACAGCGACAACAGCTCTAATTAAAGCCCATCATAGGAAGATTATTTTATGATCGAAAACCGCCTCACGAATCGAGCGGATCCTGCGGCGATTATGCGACGTGATAAAGAATACGTTATTAGATGCCTCGCCATCATCGCTCACCTCTTATTATATTATTTACGGTATAACGCAGCGACGTCGTTGATTAAAGTGATTACGTCATCGTAAATAGTAAAAAGAAAAAGAAAATGTAAGTAATTCTGTTCACTTTTTATGGTTAAATTGTTGCATTATACGTTCTATATTACTATATTGTTTGATGTGAACATATACTCGTGACTCATACATAGCCCATAGCAAGCATCAGGATCATAATATCAAATCGTCCAGGTTTTATGGATTTTTAACTAGTTGAGAAACAATCTTATCAGGTAAGAATTTGACGATACATTTAGTCCCGTTAGTACTTACTTTTAATGTAAAAAAATGGCAACAAACATTTTACAAATATACACCATAAAAAATTCGTGACGTAGTCAATTTAACATTGGGTCTCCGTGGGTGACAGACACCGACCAGTACTCCGGTAGGCGGTTGGCCACGCCTCGCTGCTGTAGACGTCACACGATGTTAGTTAGCACGTAGTTTGCATTAAGTAGGTGTTCGTGTTAGTTCATCGTACGCTATATATACTCGCAAAATGGCCATATTCGCTCGTTACGCTGATGAGACTACGATGATTTCTCTAAATCCTGGCCCGATTCATAGTAATCTTTTAGTAAAATATTGACTTAAGACAATAATACAAGAATTCTGTTACTAACATGACATTTTCTGTCCCGGTATATTCATTTCTATATAAAACACTTTGTACACACCTTCTAATCCATTGTTTTTCTTTTCAAATTAAGGCTAATATAATATACGGAACCCGCTTAATACGATTATTTTTCTTTGGCCCGTCAGTTTCGTACTAATGGGGTGCGACTGTAGTAATGAATTGTAGTAATTGAATGAAGAGTTTAGGCTTTGCAGTAATTGTATCTATTTGTGAACAATTTAACGCTACTAAAGTTCTTAATTATCCATATAAACCTATATAAAATATCTTGTACTCACACACACACACACACACACACACACACACACACACACACACACACACACACACACACAGGAGAAACCCGGCGGATGCCGAGACGACGGCCCGTAATTAGAATCTTAATTATAATCGTACTGCAATTATCTAATTAAGACGATCGCTTACGATGTCTAATGGCGCCTTACGCCTATAACGACACCTTACATGTCAGGTCAGGTTACGTGAGACTATAATGAGATTAATGACTGGCTTGTAATATTATAAACGCGGACCTTGTCGATGTTACTGCAAGCGTGCAACGATGCGAAGTGATGTTAAAACCAATTGTTCGTAATTTGGTCTTTATATTATGTCCTTGGTGACACGTGTAAGAAACCAGAGCAGCGACGTCACTGTTTTAATCATATGTCGTGTAATTTGCAGTCGGCACACCGCCTGGCGCACGTCGGTGCCTCTAGGTCACGCGTTTCATTTCTCCATCGTAAGGATCAACGATATGTGAATTTTTGATTTACTCTGCGCGACTGCACACAGTAAAATCAAACTGCGAAACGTCTCTTCCAAGCTAGAATTTCATCCGAGCATTTCCTCCCCACATACATCACTAACATCCCCCCACCACAGTTTCCCTTCCCAGAGTCGTTTACTAATGTTGCCTTCACACCATTCCCTTCTCAAAATCATTTACCAACATTCCTCCTACACTATACTCCTTCCCGAGAATTATCTACTAATTATTTCACTTACACTTTCCTTACCAGAATCCTTTACTAACATTTCTCTCACATTATTCCCTCTCCAAAATCGTTAACTAGTATTCCTTCACGCGCGGTCTCCCTTCTAGAATCATTTGCTAACATCCCCCTCCTCAGTATTCCTTCCCGGGATCATATTCCCAGTATTCCGGCATATCATTAAGTCAGAGCTTTCTCTCATGACGCGGTGAGGTCACGTCACACGAGGGCTCACACGTCATCAAGTCGTACAGATTTCGACACATTAATGCAAATGGAAAACCAATTTGTCGCCACGGTGGAATTCCGGTGTTGCAAATGACTAACATTAGCGACCGAGATGTGTTAATACGCGATATGGCTCAGCTGGGGAATCAAACGCATCATTGCCGCATCTGAGACAATGCGGGGGGATGCTGGAAGTGGGAGAATGGAAGCCATTGACGGCGCCGCTGACTGCCTGCGTATACACACTCCATGCAGCATGGTTTATTCATGCGTGGAGAGCTCGGCTCTCATCAATCGCTGGCGGTGTCGCGGCTGAGAGGGAAGTAACAAAGCGATGCAGGGATGTTATACGATCAAAGCAACGATGCGCGATGTGTTGTTGTGCTTTATCTGGTGCCGCGTTCGAGAGAGTTCGCGCGGGATATCGTTAATAGCAGTAGTAGGGAGTGAGAGGGTGCGAACAGTTGGCGAAGTATGTGATTGAAATCTTTTCAATGGCGTAATTTCGGAGTTACTGCTACGAACATCTATGCTTGTACGTTAACAAGAGAGAGAGAGAGAGAGAGAGAGAGAGAGAGAGAGAGAGAGAGAGAGAGAGAGAGATAGTAGAGAGAGTGCGATGGAAGGAGAGGAGAAGACGGCGCAGGAGAGAGAAGACCGCGGAAAAATAATAGAGAAATACAGGGAGATAGCGAGAACAGACAGAGACGAAGATAGAGCGAACGCGAGAACAGTTAAGTTTGAATAAAATTTTGTGTTGTCATTAAAAGCTAGAATCTCTGCTACATCTGACGATTGTGTGTTCGATCATTGTATATGAAGACACCTTCTGAAGTAAAAATTCAACTACTTTTGGAGTAATGGCCATTCACGCGTGTGCCAGCGAGGAAAATGTTATTCACAGAAAATATTACGGATGGACTTTTGAGGTAACAGCAAATATGGTATCGCTTGCTGCGTCAATTCAGAAGTGGCATTGTGATTTCTCGACAAAAATGGCCGATTATAGATTCTTACTATGACAAATATTGGCGAGTCTACTTCGTGCCGCTTTACAGCTGAAAATTTACTGATTGCCGTTCATAATAGCGCTCCTAAACTCTTATGATGCGCACAACACATACAACAATATTTGTCATAGGAAGAACCTTTCTATGACAAATAGTGTCATAGGAGAGCGTACATGCGTATGTCGTATTTGTCATAGATGCTAGCAGAACAGGCTGCCAACTTTAGCGTTCTCTCGGACGTAAGCATCGCAGATGAGGGACGAAAGAGTTCGTCTCCCGGTCGCTCGCGGTGCTTGCCTTACTCTGCCCCCTTCTCGAACTTGCGACGCGTAATCTTACCGTGAACCAAAACTTGTTTGTTTTCTGAAGGGAAAAACGCAGCGCGTACAACCGGGATATTATTAACGTTAGCTCGCCTCGTTGCGGCGGCTACCGCCGTGTCAGCCAGTCTACATGGAATAACAGAAGGAAAGTATCGTGATTTACGTATACGCGAGACCCCGTAATAGGATTATAGTGATATTATCAGAAGTAGATAATAGAGAAATATTTCCTATTATCTATTTTTGATATTATCTAGTAAATAGGATCGCATTAGACGTCGGAGCCGGCGCGCATGCAATTACGTCTTTCTGCACAAATTGCGAAGGACATCAGAACATATTGTGCATGATCAACGAAGAACAGTGATCCTACATTTCTTGATCCTTCGTAATCACGAAGCTTGTTTCCGGATTAGAGCGAAAGCCTGGAAGTAGCTCAGCCTACAGTAATCAAAATAACTAACTTATACGCGTACTTACACACACGCACGCTCACGTACGCACGCACGCGCACACATGCACTTACACTTATACGCATCCGCACACGCATACACCTGCACTCTACCCTCACACTACACGCCACGTACGCACACACACCCACACCACACACACACCACACAACACACACACACACACACACACACACACACACCACTACACAACACACCACACACACACACACACACGGCA